CGGTGGCAGCTGGAAGGCCTGGACTGGAGGGTCAGGCACCTCCCTAAGAGCCTGCTCTGAAATGGCCGCAGCGCTGTGCTTCCCAGGGGGTCGGCGCCGTGGTCATCCAGCAGTGGCCCCTGCCCAGGGGGCTTCCCGAAGGCGCATCCTCTTCCCTTGGAGAGCTCTCTGTGTGCTCGCCGGCTCCTCCCTGGGTTTGTTTGGAAATGGCTGGTCCACGTGGCTGATTCTGCACCAGTCGGGAAGGTCCCAATTGCATGTGTCAGATCCCAAAGACGATGGAGGCCCCCGTCCCGAGTGGGCACAGGTGGCGGGCCCTGCGATGAGTGGGCGTCCGCCGCGGAGAGCCTGCCTCCTGGGCTTGTCTCATCCGGGCAGCGATGGCGACGTTTATTGTCCAGGTGAAGCTTCGTTAAAGCAGAAGCCCAGTTTCCATTAGGATATGAATGTTTTATTTATTAAATTGCTATTTTAATATAATTTACCAAGTCATCGAAGACAAATAATCCACTTAAGCGAAGCTGTAAAACTCCATTTTCCCCGAATGCTGTGTTCCTGTGAACGCGTGGCTTATACTGCACTCCGCTCGCCAGCTGGGGGTACCTTATGGGGACGCAGGATTCACAGCCCAACCTCCTGAATTCCGAGTGAGGATGGGTCCCAGGGCTGGCCTGAGGCTGACCTCTGCACTCCCCGGTTAAATAAAGGTTGTTAAGCACATTAAGAGCCCCCTCCATCACAGGATACAGCGAAGGCTGTATCACTAAAGTACAAGGAGGCAGGCCACTAAGAGCAAGACTCAGCAGAGAAAACAAGCTCTCAAAAACGTAACTGCAAAGGAAGAGAGACTATGGTATAGGAGAAATCTGGAGAAAATGTAAATCGAGAGAGATAAGGGAGCAACATCAAAGCAGGCCTTCACCCAGGGGCACCTGCCAGTTAATTTCCAGGGCCTTCTGCCTGGTTGTAATGAGCCTCAGGCAGGAGACAAACCTGGAGCCTGTCCAGGGACTGAACAGGTGCTGCTGTTCGCCTTTCTTGGCCTTGGCCATGGAAGTTAAGGAAAAAGGAAGGAAAACACCTCCCTTCGGAATATCTGACCACAGTCCTGCATTCACATGAGTTTGGAGTCCCAATTCATGTTACTTGACTTACAAAATTTCAAGCTGAAAATTTAGTTGGAAGCAGACTTGGGATAATAGTGCCTTTAGGCTCTAGCAGAAGCAAGTACAAAGTTGTTCTTCCCCAAAGAAAGCCATTTCTGATACACGCCTCAAAGAATTCCAACAGATGAAAGTTCCAAGGAACGTGTCGACGAAAAATTAATAGTCAATCTAAGAAAGAAATGGAGAATTTTATTCGAGCCAACTGAGGATAATAACCTGGGAGACAGTCTTTCAGAAGCTCTGAGTACTGTTCCTCCCATTAGAAGTTAAAGCACAGTTGTATACATTTTCGAGAGAAGGAGTAATACTCCATCAAAGGACATATTGACAGTTTACATAGTCCAGATCTGCACGTACAAGGCAAGTAGTAGGTCATCCTGATCCCTTACAAGATTAAGAAATGTTGTCTCCTAAGGAGTTACCTTGCTGGCGCCAGGAGAAAATTGCTCTCTGTGACGGAGCAGGCATGCCCGTGTCCTTTGGGAGGTCTGGTTCATGGGTAGTGTAGGTGCACAGTGCACACTAAAGAGGGGTAGTGGCCCAGACTGGCAGAGAGAATTTTATGTTAAAACATTTCTTGTCCTGCCTTAAAAATAATTTTATTTCATCAAACATAAGCTCCAAGAGGGGGAAAATCACTAAAGTACAAGGAGGCAGGCCACTAAGAGCAAGACTCAGCAGAGAAAACAAGCTGCAAGAAAGAGATCTACAAAGACTACAGACTTTAAAGTGATCTGAGATGTGCTAGAAAATAACTTTAACATGTTTAAAGTGATAAAAAGGAACATAGTGGATGAAAAAGGAGGAGGAAAGGGAAACTCGTGATTTACAAAGCAGGTCTGAGAAGAGAAGCAAGTCTCAAATTTAATGGGTGAGTTAAACAGGAATTGTGATACAGTTGAAGAGATGACTAGTAAGTTGGAGGAAAGATTTGAAGAAAGTAATTCTCCCAGACAAACAAAGAGATGGAACATATAAAAAGAGGGGTTAAGTGAAATGGAGAGCAGAGTGAAAAGACCTCACACCTGCCTGACCTGGGTTCTGAGAAAATGCAGAGAATGGCAGGGGGCAGATGGATGTTTGATAGGAGATAGTGGATGATAGTTTTCCAAAACTGATGAAAGCAGCCCATTCTCAGGATATCTCGAGCAGAATAAATATTATAAGGAAAATGCAAAACATCCAAGACAAAGAGGGTATCTCAAAAGCAGCCAGAAAGAAAAGTGTGATTTCCTGCAAGGGAATGACAAATAGATTGATAGCTTTAAACAGTGGAGGCCAAAAGATGTCATTTTTAACATCTTTAAAAGTAATAACCAACAGTTCTATCTTTCAAGAATGAGAATGAAATAAAGACATTTTTAGACGACAGCTGAAAGGGTTTACTGCCAAAAGACCTCTCATTAGAGGATCTTCTAAAGGTTGCATTTCAAGAAGGATAATGATTTTAGAAGAAACGTCTAGATGCTGCAAATGCAGCAGAGGTTCAAAGAAAAATAGAATATTATGAACAACCTTGTAGGTGGCAAATTCCTACAAAAAGAAAAGTTTTCAAAAATTTTAGAAAGTCTGAAGTGTTTTATAATCATATGGAAATTGAATCAGGAATACAGACCTTTCCACAAAGAAGACATCATGCCCAGCCCATTTCTAGCCAACTTTCGAAGGACAGGTATCCCGGTCTCGTACAGACTCTGAGAAGAGGAGGAGGAAAGAGACAAACACAACCTTCATGATTAAAGTAGACAAGGATGGTTCTAGAAGGGAACATGAGAGGCCAGTTTTCTGTAAGTGTGAGAGCAGAAATCCTAAATGAAAGATCAGCCAACAGGGCCCAGCTGTGATTAAAAAATATAACTTACTGTGACCAAATCGAGTTTACCGGGAATGCAAGGTTGGTTCAACATTAAAGAAACTCTGATACTAATGTAATTCACCACGTTCACAGATTAAAGGAAAACAATCTTGTTGTCTCAGTTGATTCAGGAAAAGCATCGGATGAAATTCTGTAACCATCCATAAGAACTCTAGTAAATTAGGAATAGGAGGGCACCGACCTAACCTGCCACGCGTTATCTACACAAAGTTCTAGTGTGAAACAGCTTCCTTCTCCGGCACGTAAGGTGCAAAGCAGCGGCCCGGTCGCTGTTAAGTCAGGAAGCAGAAGGCGAGGATGCCGCCGCACTGCAGCAGCTCTGCTCGACCTGCCGATGCCAGCTCGGCCAGCACAGGGCAGTGGGACGCAGAAGCACACTCCCGTCTCTGGCTTTATCTCCTCAGCACCCTCTAACACTCCAGGCAGTGTGACCTGCCAGTGACCTCCATGTGGCTAAACCCAGTGGTCAGTCACATCCCCGGGCTCGTGTTACCTGACCCTCTGGCAGCACCTCACACTCCTCCCAGCTCCCTGCTCGTTCCGTTAGGCCCTCAGTGTAAACTTGTGGCCTGGACCGTGGGGCCACATCCTCTGGCACTTGTAACAGGGAAGAGCCAATTCTGACTACATGTTGCATCTGTTTCTTTTACTTTAACCTTTGTTTTCTGCTGCTTTTGTTCACTAAAAGGATACTGTCTATACACAGTGGCCTGCCTTGGGGAACCCTGCCCCCTGAATGTTAAACCAAAGTGCCTTTGTTCAGGGAAACATCCGGACCCTGTTCCACCTGTGGATGGCTGGCTACAAGAAAGAAGAAATCGACACATCCCCTCCCTGAGGCTGGCCATTATTCCAGGGGATATTTGCAAAACTTACGGCCCTTTCACTTTACTTCTCATCTCCTCCTCCTCTCCGTGCTATAAAAGAAACTGGCATCCAAACCCCGATAAGATGGTTTTACAAAGACACTAGTCTGCTATCTCCTCAGTCTGCTGGCTTTCCAAATAAAGTCATATTCCCTGCCTCAACACCTCGTCTCCGATTTATTGGCCTGTCGTGCGGCGAGCAGAGCCAGCTTGGACTCGGTAACACACCCTGGACTCATCTATCCCACTGCCTGCCCGACGGCTGCACTCGGGTGCCTAGCAGGTGCGTGTCCACAGGACAGACTCACAACCTTCCCATCAACACACTTTCTCCTGCACCCTTTCCCACAAACCTTTCCTCCTCTTAGGAAACGACGGCTTCCTCTTTGCGCTTGTTCAGGCCAAGGACATTGGTGTTATCCTTGGTTCCTCTTTGTCTCCTACCCCATAGGTCCCGCATTCATCAGCGTATTTTGTTGGCTCAACCGTCAGACCATCTAGCATCTGACCTCTTTTCACAGCTGTGCTGAACCCCCTTGTCCCAACTCACTAACAAGTTGGAATTTTATGATTTCCGTGGTCTTCTATCCCATCTCCCTGGGTCTGCCTCTCCCCACCCTGCCCACTGCCAGGTCTGTCCTGGCAGCGCGGGGAGCAGTGAGGAGGGGTGCAGGTGACCACTCGGGGGGAACGCAGCATGCTCGCTGCCCCACACTTCCGGTCAGCATCGTTTCCGGGCGGTGCCCGGGCCGGACGCCTGCTCTGCTCTTGCCTTTCGTTCAGGGCTGAGTGATCGGCCTCTGTGGGGAAAACGGGTCCCTTCTCACGGGGTGCATAGAATGGGGGCCCCTCGGACTGGCCTTTTATCGTTGCTGCCCATCATCCGTGCAAGAAAGCAAACGAGCACCCGGTCGCCGGGCACATCCGCTGTGTCCCGCTGCCCGATTAGAGAGAAAATTGTCCTTATTTTAATGAGATGAGAATTAGAAACGGAGGCCTTGAGTAAAAAAGCGAGCAAGCCGGCCCCGCTCTGTGTTCCTGGCCAGCCTGTCTGGGCTGCACGCTGACCTTCTCGGCTGTTCTCTCTTGCAGTCGGAACCTGAGGGCTTCGCGCATTTCCACCTGTACGTGTGTGCTGCTTTTCTCGTGAGATGGAGGAAAGAAATACTGGGAGAACGAGATTTTCAAGTAAGTAAATGCCTTTTCAGAAGAACCCGAGTGTGATTTCCTGCTGGGAGAGAGGTGTATTAGATTTAGTTCACAGGGTTATTTGTGGAGGAGCTTGGAGACGGGCTGCCTGAGGTCACCGCTGACCTGCTGCCTGAGACTCCATGGCCGAGGGCACAGATCACGTGGGGCCTGGGCTCTGCCGACACTGGCGTTATTAAACGTGCTGTCGTGGACTCCAGGAGATACCTCCTGAGCCGGCTGGTGTGTGTCCTCAGCAGAATGGCCCGGGGGCTCCTGGGAGCCTCGTGGCAGCTGTGGGGAGTGGGGCGTTAGGGAAGGGGCTGGCCGCGTGATCGCATGGCCTGGCTGCCCGGCACTTGGTAGCTGTGTGACCCAGGGGTGGTTGCTAGCCTCTCTGAGCCACGTTTCCTCAGCGGTTCCGTGGGAGAGCTACACTCGCCCCCATCCATCAGAGGCTCTGTGCTCGACCCAGGGGCTCCAGGTGGGCCGATCCCCCACCCCGTCCCCACCCCCAGGTGTGCCTGTGCGGTGGTACTGTGGGCAGTGTTGACCCCTGGGAGGGCGGGCCGCCTGGGGTGCAGTGAGGAGACACCAGCGGAGGGGACCAGGAACCAGGCTCTGCCCCTCACTGTCTGGGGGTCACTCTCTGGCTGCTTCACCTCCTCGAGCCCCTCATCTTTCAGGTGAGGGGACAGGGAAGGAGGCCCTGTTGTCCCAGGCCACAGTGTGGTGACCCTGGGCAGCTCGCTTGGCCCGTGGCCCCTCAGCTCCCATGCTTGTCAGACGCTCTGAGGACCCTGCTCCACCCGCCGAGGGCCGTGGGAAGCCACCCAGCCCTGCCGCAGCGCCCAGGCGCTTTCCATCTCGGCCACCAGGACGGTGGATGGGGAGGGCCTCTGTCCGGGCCAGTAGAGCCCAGCGCCCAGCCTGCCCCGCCCCGAGGTGCTAGATGGCGAGACCTGGTCCCTTTTCTCATCCCGGCTCCTGCCCTTGCTGTCAGCACAGTGCTGTGGGAGCCTGGCTCCAGGGCGGCCTTCGCCCCGCCCTGCCGCTTCCCACCTCCGGTTGCTGTCTGTGAACTGGGGAGAAGGCAGCCTCCTGCCCTGCCCCCTTGCCCTCGTGGGAGGCCTGCGGCCCCCTGGGTCACTCTGCGTTGGGCACGTGGCAGTGCCGAGAGAGCCCGGCGCCGGCCTGCGTCGCCGAGTGAGGGGGGATGACCGCGGGCGGCCGACGGGGCCCCCCGAGGGCCCGCTGTCCATGGAGGTGCGGGGGAGCCCACAGACCGGCTGGGCCGTTGGTTGGAAGGGAGAAGGGCCCCGCCTCCCTGGTGACCCGGGCCAGCGTCCACACCTGCGCCCGGCTAGCTCTCACCTGGACGACAGGTGATGCAGGTGCCCGAGTCCCCCAGGCTGACGGTGGCTCAGATGTTGCTGCCTCAGTTACGCTGGGACTTCTCTGGTTGGGGAAACAGTTCTGGGAGGCCCCAGCCAGGCATCACTGCCCTCGCGGGGCCCGCACCTGGTGGGGGTCGGTGGTTCGGAAAGAGTGTAGGGAGTGCGCTGAGCCCAAGGCTCGTCATTGTCCCAGGAACCGCTCGTGACCCCCCAACGCTGGGTGGCCCCTGAGCCTCACGTGCCTGAGAAATGGCCCTTGCCCGCCGGCGTGAGTCCCAGCTGGGGACAGGGACCTGAAGCTGGTAGTGACCTCGTGCAAAGGGTCCTGCCCTGCGTTTCTTCCTGCTGCTCCACAAACAGGGACGGTGCTGCCAGGGTCCAGGGCCACCAGGAGCAGCCCTGGACGCGAGGGTCCCTGAGCTGGGTGGGAGGACGTGCCCACGGGTGGGTGGTGCTGGGCCGCCCCGCTTGGCCTTCCTGTCTTCCCGCCCCACGCCCAGGAGCCCGTGGAGGGCTGCCCAGGGCTCTGCAGTGTGGCCGCCCCACCTGACGTGACTGCGTCCCTGGTGGCCTTGGAAGACGTGAAGACGAGCCCCTTGCCCATAGCTCGCTCTCGTGTTGCTTTCTGGCCAGAGATGCTGCCCTGTTGTAACTGGAGGGTGCTACTAGGCGGCTGGTTAGAACGCTTTGTTGGCCTCCCAGGGCCCTGCTCTCTTAACTCGAGGCTCACCGAAGCCAGGGGACAAGCGCGGCACAGCAGCCGGTGCGCCAGACCTCGGAGGAGCCATGAGGTTGATTCTCCCCCGAACTCAGGCCTGGATGTCATAGGGTTGGATGCAGGGCGTGTTGTGAACACACTGCATTGCGGGGAATTGAACTGAATGGGAAAGTAAACAAGAAGAGAAAACAAATAAAGCACCTTTGGAGCCCTGGCGGGCACGGGGCGATTGCGTGTGCAATCGTGGCATTTTAGGAACATGATTCTGTGTGCACGGAAGACAGCTTGAGAGTCCCGCAGTGGAACATCCATGGAAGAGGCTTTAAAGGCCCTCAGTCTCTGCAGAGTTGGGAAATGGCACGCTGCTGTGTCATCTCCGTGGGAACAGTCATTTCCTGAGGGGCGTCTTCAGGAGGAAGACAGAGTCCTCCTAGCGTTCAGCACGCCCAGCGGTGTGGGTACTTTTGGCGGAGTGCGGGGGGGCATGGGCTTGGCTTCCTGCATCCAGTTCCCAGAAGCTCAGTGAAGTTGGGGTCCCACCTCTTCTCGTGTGCTTCGGCTTCTGAGACCTGCCCAGCCCAGGGGTCTGGTTGTGTCCAGTTCTGTGGACCTACGGGAGGGTCGCTGGGTCATCTGGTTGGAGGGAGGCACCTCCCGGAGTGGACAGTCACTCCTGCCCTGAGATCTGGTGCCCCAGGGACCTTGTACTTGTCTCCGAGGATTCGCTGTCCCCCGGGCAGACCTTGTGCCGTCCGTCCTGCAGGTGACGGGTCCCCAGCTCTGCCCGAATGCAGCCCGCAGGTGCCGCACACACCCTGGGTGTCCGAAGCCGACCTCTTCCCCCAGGCCCCTGTTCCCACCCCACCAGCCACGGAGGTCCCAGCCTCAGCGCCCGCAGCCTGATTCTCCCCGGCTGCCTTTTTCTAACCAGATTCTGTAGGGCCTGTGGGGGAAGGAGCCCCCTGTGCCCAGTCTTGTGTCCCCTGGTGGTGCGGCTGGCACGCTGACCTGGTCCCTCCCCTCTGTGGGGTGCCCCACAGTAAGAACTTGGGGCCCAGAGAGGATGGGTGCACGTGGCTGAAGATGCCTTTGAAGGGCTGGGCTCAGGTCCTGAGCCAGAGCTGCCATGTGCCCCTGATCGTTCCTCCTCTCCGGCGGGGATGCAGGTGCGCTGGAGATGCTGGCCTTACCGGGTTCTTTGTCTGATTCATAAGGGCAGCTTATAAAACAGTTGGTAACGCACAACCCTAGAAAATCATTCTAGTTTATCCCCCCAAAGTCTGAGCTGCTTAGTTTGTCCTGGTGTCCCAGGACATCGGAGGTCCGACAGCCCCTGTGCGGGCCCCCGGTCCTCATTCACAGCCCGCAGAGCCTGGTTCGCCCTGGGCCTGCTGCTTGGTGGGGAGGGCAGCACCCAGGGGGGATCATTCCTACCCCACTGCCTCCCGGGGGTGACCCGGCAGCGTGGCTGCAGAGGTGCTTTGTGACATGGAAGTTTCTCCTCGCCTAGGAACTGTCATCGTGCTTCTGGATTTAGAAGAGGCCAAGTCCCTTAGATGCAAAAGAGGCAGCAGCATACCGTGCTTTGTTTTTCAGAGGAGACAAAGCAATTAATTGTGGTAAACAGAGCGTGGAACTTCCAGTGCAATCAGGGGCCTTCTCTGCGGGGACCTCGGGAGCTCAGAGGTCTGTAAATATTTCTGAGAAGGTAATCGGCCGCTGCATATTTGCTGGTGAACGACGAGCCTCATGGGGAGAAACGGCTTCCCGTGCACGCGTGGTGGCCGCCAGCCCCGAGAGGCTGTGAGCCCGGGGTGAGGCCGGGTGTAGGGCCCCGCCTGGAAACCCCAGCCGGTCCACGGAGGGGGCTCAGTGTGTGAGCGGTGGCCGCCGTGCCCCGCACCCCTGGAGCTGGGGCCTCCTCTCGTGCAGGCCCTTCGCCTTGTCTCCTGTGATCGCAGGTTGCCGCTCGGTGGGGACCAGGTGGGGACAGGCAGGGGCAGTGCCCAGCGGGAGGCCTCTGTCTGCTCTGATGTCCCTGGCCCCTCTGATGTCCCCTCAGGCCCTCCCTCTGCGCTGGGCCCTGTGCTGTCTGTCACGAGACTCCGTTTCCACGCACGAGGGGTTGGGCTGGCTGGGGGTGGACTGGGCAGGGACAGCAGGGAGTTGTGTATTGTGAGGCCAGGGGTCAGGGATGGGAGTAATAAATCAGGTGCGGGAGCAGGTTGGGGAGCTAGAACCAAGGACCCGGATCTAGAGCGGATCAGGTACCGGCCTGCTCTGCAAGGGAAGGAAGTTAGTGAAGCTGGGGCTGAGCGTGTGGGGTCGGGGTGTGGGTGGTGATCAGGAGAGGAGCCTGAGAGGGCACGAGGGAGCCAGGCGGCTTCCTTAACAGGGCAGGGGAGCCAGGGGTGGGAAAGGACCCGGTGCAGTAGGAGGCGGGGCCGTAAGGCTGGAGGAGGAGCCCTAAGGGGGCGGGGGCGGGACCTGGGGTGGGAGGTGGACACGCCCACAGGGTGTGAGACACGTGGAACCTAGAGGGACGGGTGGGCAGCCCACGCAGACTCGGGGACAGCGAGGTTGGCGGTCTTCCCCTTGACTTCGAGGGGGAAGCGGCCACAGTCCGCAGCGCGGCCCGCGGCTCAGAGGTGCCTCTGCTGTTAGACATTGTCTGGCGGAGGCTCTGGGGTGTTGGACGCGGTGGTCCACGCCTCACTTTGCCAAAGTCTCCCTCTGTCTGCAGGTTAAACCTGAGTCTAAAATTTTACAAACAGAAAGACATCGAATGGAGCAGCCGCAGGAGGAGGCTCAGAATATTTGATGAGGATAAAAAATGAGGCTGCTGTGGGTCTGACGGCTTAAAAGCTCTGGGTAGGATCTGAGTT